GATAGATAGATAGATAGATAGATAGATAGATAGATAGATAGATAGATAGATAGATAGATAAATAAATAAATAGATAAATAAATAAATAAATAAGACAGCATTAAATATTACTATCCTCTCTTGTCCTAAGATTTCCAAAAAAGTTTTATAGATTTCAACTGGGAAACTATCCATGCCAGGAGTTTTGTTGCTTCCCATTTTTTTTTGACTGCCTTTTCTAATTCATCTATTGTTATCTTTTGGTTTAGTACCCCTTTCACTTCATTTGAGATCTTAAGTAGATTTGCATTATCTAATGAGTTGTAATTACTATTAGGGTGGGCCTTGTAACTTTGAATGGTTACCAAGTGACTGGCCGTAATTTGAGGATTATCCGTATATTGGGGTGTTTTTTGTACCATACACAGAGCTCTGTGAATCAATGGTCATATTCCTTTAGCCCCCCCTCTTCCTTCAGTTGCTCCATTCCTACTCAGTGTTGCATTCTCAACAGCCACATGAGTGTGCCAACCTGCAGTTCCTTTTGAGTTGCTCAAAGCTTCTGTAGCAATCTTGGAGAAGAAAGCCTGTGACTCATTTGCTAGATAGATTCAGAACTGATCGTTTGTAATGGGAGACTGACAGAACACATGAGAAATTGCATCTCGCTGGGAGGGGTGGTGGTGGTAATGATGCATTACGCATGTTAGTAAAGAAAAGAAGAGCTTTGCGTCACAGGAAAAAAAGCGGGGGGGGGGTTGTACATCGGAGTTGTCCGTATTTTAAGCCAAAGTTCCTTACTTTAGCCCCAAGCTTTACCCTGTGACCCTGCATAACTCAGAATGTGGAAGGAAGGAAGAAACCATTGCTTCATTTTAGTTTTTCTCAGCACAGATAAAAAAGCATTTGTCTCTGTTCAGGGAAATATGAGTCATAATTCTTCATCTTCTCCATTGCAGAGAAAAACGCACTATACGGAACCGTTTTTTTTTTCTAAATAAAGATCTTCTGGTTTTGGGGGGGGAGGGGGGGTCGTCAGGATGTATCTGTCTTGTGGGCAAGAGGTTACCATCTTTTTTTCCTTGAAAAGTAAAGTGAAAGAACGATGGGTAAGGATTTGGCCACCCTTGAACCGTCCGTGAAATAATATGTTTAGTTTATGGTGTCTTCCCCAAAAATCTGTTTTTAAAATAGGAATATTCATTCTCCCGGAAGGACTAAAGGAAGATGGAAGTATCATTGTTATCACCATCAGCTGGTTCTGATTGGATTTGGTACTTTAATTATTGATTCCTTCCTAAAGATCTAGGATGGTTAAAGATCTACTCATCATGTGTGCTATTCTAAGTAATGCAACTTTTTTGTAATTGATGAGTTGAGATTCTGCCCATTCCTATAGCGGTCAAATGCTTTTTTAGATATTTTGGTATGGCACCAAATGCATCTTCTATGGCACTACTATTACTTTCTTTTTGAACATTCACTCTATCTTTATTTGAAGTTCTTCATGTTCTTTCTCACTTCCCAGTGTCAGTTATCCATATTTATTTTTTCTACAGTCATGCCTGGCTTATTTGTGGTTAATTGTACAATCACCCAGGTCTTTAGTCTGGATTTGGATTTTTATCCAACTATTTTATTATTTTTTCCCTTCTACAACTACTTTCAGTCATTACATCAACATTGTTATGTCATCATANATCTTTATTAAATTTAAATATATTTAAATAGCTTTAAATTAGTCTGGTATTCTTTAAGCTTGTTTTGCTTCATTTAAAAATATCTTTCAGCTTTCTGAGTCGATACTGATATGTGGAGGGATCGTAGTCTTGCTGATATAAATGGCACTAATATGAATTTTGAATTGAATGTGTCATTTTCCTAGAATTACACAAGAAAGGGTGATGATGCTGTCAGTACTTTCAGTGGGGATGTGAACGTTTTTTGGCATTATAATTAATTTATACTAATAGCACATTAAAAATGAAAGTGCCATAACTAAGTGCAGTGAATGTATTGCATGATAAATATATGCTTCCAGTTTGGAAATATAAACGTTATTGCACTGTTCATTGCCTTTTCTTCTCAGAAGTAGGAAATAACTGCTTTCCAATTCTTGCTGCAGGGCCTATCTTAAAGAAGGAAGGCCCTCTCTGGCCTGTATGCCATCTATGAATATGATATTTCATACTGCAATCCTATAAGTACTTAGTGAAAGTCTGTATTATTGATTTCAATGGGACTTATAGGCCATACTCCTAAATCAGATCAAATGACAGATTCAAGGACATATTCCGCCAGAACGGCACTAAAAATGAAATTAGTACATAGAATTAAATAATGATATCTATCACAAAAGTAATACCTACTACAAAGAAGTGTTGCTTGAAAGAGAATCATATTGTTATATTAAATTATTGCAATGGTCTAATTTGGGATGTGGTTTAATAGACCATTGCCTTTATTTCTTTTTCTGCCATCCACATATCATAATCAGAAATCTAGCAATAGATGTTCTTGAATGATTCCTAAATATTAGTTATTTCTGCACTAATAAGCCATATTTTTGCTTGTTGCTTATTGAATATATTTCACATCTTAGGATAAGCATTAATAGTATATCTTAATGGATTTCTGTGTTTGAGCTCAGTGTATCTTATTTTAAAATAAATGTGTACTGGTTTGTAATCTACATCTCCAGAAAGAGTCAGCTTTTGATGTCTTCTGTATAACTCTGTCTGTCTCCAGGATCGTGCAGAGAGCATTGTCCTGAAAGTGCTCATCTCTTTCAAAGCCAATGATATTGAAAAAGCTGTGCAATCTTTGGATAAAAATGGAGTTGATCTATTAATGAAATATATCTACAAAGGTTTTGAGAATCCCTCTGATAACAGCAGCGCCGTCTTGCTGCAGTGGCATGAAAAGGTACGTTAACACAGATGACAGATTTCTTTTTTATTATTAATGAGCTCCCTGAACTACTTTCTTTAGTTGGTAAGTTGATATTCTTTAGTTGATATTTTCAGCTTCTTTGTATTCAGAAAGACTTCTGATCAACATTGGATAAATGGACATTGCGCGCACACACACTTTAGGGAAATCTGAAGTAACAGAACGAAGACATGACAATGTCTTATAATGTGAGTACTTAGAACAATGAGATGAAAACCTCATTTCCAAACTCACATATTCAAATTCCGTTTTTCCAATGTTAAGCAGAAGATACACACACACACACACACACACACACACACACACACACACACACATCACATAGAAGAACTAGAAAGACAGGTGCCCAGAACTTCAGAAAGAAAATACATGTAAGAGTTGGAGAGCTATTAAAAAAAAAAAAAATTGTACATAAGCTGGAAAATAATGTCCAATCAGGAACAGTCCTAGATTACCAATGAAAAGAAATGTAAAAAGAATGTACATTTATTACAGATAATTAATTTTCAGCTTTTAGAAAATGAAGGAGAGGGGGAATTCAAGGAGAACGGAAATGCTCCCCCCCCCATTGTTAAATATCATCATATTCATTTGTAAGACATTATGAATGTTTTGAATAAAAGGGACAGGAACTGCTATCTAAAGAAAGTAAAATAAACTTTTCAATCAATCCATAGAGCATGTTCTGTGCTCTTTAAATTTTGCTGGCATATTTCCAACTAGCAATTTAGACAGTGAACTAAGACAGGTGTACATTATAGCAAGAGATTTAGCTGCAAATACAAACCAAGGGAACACAATTCTGCCAGTGATTTGTATTGTAATGCAAGCTGTTTGTGTAGCACCTCTCCCCCACCTCCACCCCAATATGACGATAGATTTCTTGTGTGGAATTCTGGTATTTCTAATTTTCTAAACCTCTTTGTTTTATATTTTTCCTAAACATCCACAATTTAAGTTCATTCTGTGCGTATGGTTTTTCTCTTTTGCAGGCTCTTGCTGCAGGAGGTGTAGGCTCCATTGTCCGCGTCTTAACTGCCAGGAAAACAGTTTAAAGTCCAGCGAAAAAAATCTGCCACGTGTGTGGGAAACGCTGGGTACAAGACCAAAAAGAAAAAAAAAAAAGAAACCGATTGCCATCACTGCCCTGTGGGTAGTATCTGTCTGTCTCGGCTTGCCTTTTTTGCTTTTTCATAATCTGTGGCTTACTAGACATATCAAACTTTTTGTGAAATGTTGGATAAATGTNTAGATAGATAGATAGAATGCATGTATGCATGCATGCATGCATGCATGTGTGTTGTATGTATGGTGTGTGTGTGTGTGTGTGTGTACACAAACATACACACAAACCAACCCACGGCAAGGCACCTCACAGGCCCGGGGCAGCCGTTTCCCAGGCGGCGGCGGTGTGAGGAAAGGCGTCTCCGCTTCAATGGATTCCGCCTCCCCAGGCAAACCCTCCGCGGGGCTCTCCACGTGGCCGTCCCGACGTGCAGCGCCGAGCACCGCCGGGGCCTCCGCCTTCCTCCCTCCCTCCCTCGCCCCCTTTCTTTGTCTCCTTCCCAGATGGCAGCCGAGGAAGAGCCCGCCACACGGAAATCCAGCCTGCCGAAGGCCGGCCTGGGGTTGTGGGGAGGGGACCGGGGGGGGGGGTGTTGAGTTGGCTCCGGAGAAGCGACCCCCGACCCAAAACGAAGGCGGGGAAGGGGAAAGGAGCTGCCCGGGCGCCGTTTAAACGCCCCACATGGCCGGAGGGCTCCGCCCTCGAGGCGGGGGAAGGGGAGAAGAGAGCCCCCCCCACAACTCAGGAGCCCCCCACTCAGCTCCGGGCCTTCGGGGCGCCCCCTCAGCGGCGCAGGGCGAGGAGCGACGCCCCCCCTTCCCGCCCTCTCTCGCGAGCGTTCCCGTCGGCTACGGTTAACGGCGGACGCCCCCGCCCGCCTCCCTCTCGCCCGGAAAACCCAGCCCGCAGCTCGGCCTTCTTACCGTCCCGAGGAAAAGCCGCTTCTCCCGGCTGGGAGGGGGCGCGAACCCGGGGCCACTGCCCCCTCCTTCGCTGAGCGCTCTGAGGGGAGAGGGGGGGGGGAGCGGGCCACCCCGGAAGCGCTTCCCGCGGACACGCCCTACGACGGCCGGCGCCCTATGGGAGAGACGCCAGCCGGCCCGAGGCGCGCGTCACAAAAGTGTTTCCGGGGCCCGGACGCCCTAGCAACCGCGTCCGGTTGCTAAGCGGGATAAGGCGGGGCTTCGGATGGCGGGGCCTGCGCAGGCGCAGAAAGGCGGGAGGGTTTCCTTCAGCCAGGAGAGATGATGGGGATGGGTGAGGGGGGGCGGGAGATAGTGACACGCGGGTTGTGGGGGTCACGTGTGAGTTGTTTATATGCTGGTCCTGGGAAGGGATCCCTGGCTTGAGCAGGGATGGAAGACCACTGGGTTGTTGTTGTTTCTTCTCCTCCTCTTCCCTTCTTCCTCCTCCTCCCCCCTTTCTTCATCTTCTTCACCTTCTCCTTCATCCCCTTCTCCTTCCTCCTATTTTTCTCCTCCATCATCTTCCTCCTCCCCTCCTCCCTTTCATTCCCTTCTTCCTCTCCTCCTTTTTCCTCTTCTTCCTTCCTCTCCTCCCCCATTCATCATCTTCCTCCTCCTCCCTTCTTCCTCTGCTTTTTCCTCCTCCCCCTTCTCCTCCTCCCTTCTTCCTCCTCCTTATCCTACATTAAAAACTAAGAAACCTATAGCACCATACAAAGGAGCAGAAAAGATTTATTCTGACTTCAAACCCAATGTCCTTTAGATTAACAGTTGGAAGGGACCTTGTAGGACATCTAGTCCAACCCCACCAAGCAGGAGACCCTACACCATTTCTGACAGATGGCAGTCCAGTCTTTTCTTGAAAGCCTCCAGTGATGAAGCTTGCACAATATCCGTTCCATGGGTTGGTTGTTCTCACTGTCAGAAACTTTCTCCTTATTTCCAGGTGGAATCTTTCCTTGGTCATTTTCCATCCATTATTCCTTGTCTGGCCCTTCAGGTGCATTGGAAAATAGCTTGACCCCCTCCTCCTCTCTCTGGCAACCTCTCAAATATTGGAACACTGCTATCATCTCCCCTTGTCCTTCTCTTCACTAGACTAGCCGTGCCCTGCAACGAGTTCCTGCAACTGCTTTTCATGTTAGTCCCCTAATCATCTTGGTTACTCTTCTCTGCACTCTTTCTAGAGTCTCAACATCTTTTTTATAATGTGGTGACCTAATATAATGGGAATTCTGGAAACCCTAAACTCAAAGCAGTTGAATATTTAGCCGGAATATCCTGAAAGCGAACTTCCTTATCTTTCCCACTGCCACAAAGTTCGATACAAGAAAAGTATGAATACTCATAATCTTTAAAATCATTATTTAAGAACTAATCGCAGTCTGCACATAAACAAACTAGTTACCCAGATAAAAAAAACAAGAATAGCTGTGCCGAATTCTGTAAAACTGTTATATCTTTATTAGGCCGATTCCACAATTACAAATAATGTAGTAATTGGTTAATCAGAAAATTTTTTAACCCTACCCTCAATGCCATAAAACAAAGATGGAAGCAAATTAGAAAATCTTTAGAAGTGTTAATCTGTTATTTCTAATATCAGAAATTCTATGCTTCGGGTTGCCTTCGTACCCAAATTTGGCCTATTCAAGCTTTTACATAGAGCCATGTAGAAATTCTACCATTCTGCCACTCAATGAGGTACATTTCTTTGGCCTTATTTCTTTTAAATCCAAAATAATTATTCGTTCAGTATGTTCTAGTTTACAGAAAAAAACCAGCATACCGACAAGATTTTGTACAGAAGCATAAGAATGTTATTTAACACTGGTATGGCACAGAACTTTAATAAGTGCTTAAAGAAGCAAAAACAAATTTAATACGAAGCATTTAGTTACTAGTTAAGAATCATTAAAACACTTTTAAGTATTAAGAGCATTGTATCAATGACCTGACTTTTTTTTTTTTTTAGTCTGCCAACTTTTAGGTTATTTTAGTCAACAGAATAGCATGCCAGATGCTTATAAACACTTGATTCAAACGGAATATATGCAATATATGTACAGCCTATACACAATGCTCTCGGAGCGCAAGATCTGCTTTGCAGATCCAGGATTAGCTCACATTTGATCATCTTCAGATTCTTCCTGCTCTGCAGGACAAGGAGGCAAAGGGCGTGCCCTGTTAATGGGGAAAAAAATACAAGTCAGCGACTGTTCACATCTTTAAAATTCCAGTAAATTATATTTTCAATAGCTGAGCCCTTAGAAGAGACTAAAAATATCGTAAAGGCACGCAGCCTTCACCTTGAACTGGGATCTGTTTTCCAGTTAGATCAGAAACCTTCTAAGCTCCCTTATCATACAGTCACTTCTTTCTTTCTGTGTTGCCATGAATAAAGATTCCAGAACATGGTCTATTTTGACAGAGGTCGAAAATTCTATTACCTAGGCTCAGTGTTTCTCCACAATGGCAACTTTTTAAGCTGTATGGACTTCAACTCCCAGAATTCCCCAGCCAGCTCCATAACAACTTGAAGTTACCAAGGTTGAGAAACACTGAATTAGGTAATGCTGGAAACGCTATTTTAAAAAACCCATTTGCAAAAAGCAATGAAACAAACGCTTCCCTATGTGAAATAAGCTTCCCAAAATGTTTGTAAGGTTGACTTAGCCTTCCATCCTTCCAAGGTGGGTAAAATGAGGACCCAGATTGTTGGGGGCGATAGACCAACTCTGTAAACAGTTTAGAGTGGGCTGTAAAAGCACTGTGAAGCGGTATATAAGTCTAAGAGCTATTGCTATTGCCCCTAATACCTAGTAAAAATCCATTTTAGACATGGATTCTCCGAAACTCATGCTGTACCGAGTGAACAAGGCTAGGGAATTTTCACTGAGCAGTAACTAAGGTGGTTAGATCAAGCGAGGTAGAAGTTTTAAAACTTGCTTCACCAATTCTCCTGTAGAACATTAAACGTGGAATATCCTGGCAGGTGTTTTGCCACTAGGAACGAACAGATAGCTGTTCTGACCCCCCTCGTCCCACACCAACACACTCCGAGTCAAAGATAAGTTACGGCATTTAATTAACAGACAGACAAGTCCTTGGCAGCAAACCGGCACAGACAAGCTTGAGCAGCAATCCAGCACAGATAAGCCGTGGCAGCAATCCAGCCTGCCAAGCTCACAAAGATGTTCTCCAACATTCGTTCCTGTGTTGACTTCTGCAAGAGGGGCTTGTGCACAAGCAGTCCTTTTATAGTCTAGAGAGGAGCCTAATGACCACC